TTTTTTTAGAACGAAGCTAGAACTGTCAGCTGTCAAAAAAACTTAGCAATAACATAGATGCGAATGACTCTAGTACTTCCAAAAATGAACTAGTGCCATCTGTCGCAAACATGCCTCATGACTTTTTCGAAGACCCAGTAAAACAGTGTTGCCTTGTTAATTAATGAGTCTATGTATATACCCCAAGCTTTCAACACAGTGCTGAGCACAGGTTGCTTTCTCGGTCATTCCTATGTTATGCGTGGAAGGAAGAGAAACATGAAGAATGGGGGAAGTCCTCACATTTTCTCTATGAGTGGCTTGGAAGCCAGAGTGAGAGTAAAGAGGAGCCCTTGGGATAACAGGGAAAGGTAGAGTCTACAATCCGGGAGAGAAGAAGGGTGAGACCCTGGGCAGCTTGAGGAGCCACTCATTCAACAAATATGTATGAGGCTTATTCTTGGCCCTTCACAGGGTTAGGGGCTGGAGGTCAGAGGTAGACAAGATGGACATAGGGCCCCAGCCCTCGGAGTGACTTCTAGTTTAGCAGATGGGGTAGGGATTGTGTTTGCTGAAGCCAACATCCCATAGAGGGTTATTGGGGGGTAACACATTCTTTTCAAGGAGTAGATCTATAGGTTCTGATGAACAAACATCCAAACCAAAAGACTTCTGTGAGTGGTAGGAGGGGAGTGGGGTGTGTGATCTGAAGACCTCCATCACCGTTGCTTGCTGGGGTCTTCAGGGTGACTTGTTAGGTAAATGCACTAGGCGCCCCTGTCCCTTAGTGCCCAGTGCTTCATGCCCAGCCACTCCTCACAAGCCCTTGGCTCAGAGAGCTCATTCCAAAATATCACAGCTATGTTGGAACTCAGGACATCAGAGGAAAAAGAACCCTGACAATCATGGTCCTGCTAAGGAATCCCACTTCCTGTATGTGAGACATGGGCTGTGCTGCATATATGCTGCGTATTATTTCATCCTCATCACAACTCCCAGAGGGAAACAGTATTGTTTTCCATTTTACAGACCAGAAAACAGAGGCTTCAAGAGATTCAACAACTTGCTCAAGGTTGAGAGCTGGTGAGGGACCCTCCACGCGAGCCCAAACTTACACCTGGGGAAAGCTGAGACCAGGAAACCCAGGGCAAGGGGCTTTTCTCAAGGATTCACAGCTGCCAAGGACCCTAGTGGGGACTGAAGCCCTAATAGATGTACTTTCGTTTATGGCAAACCACAATGCAATTACAGTTTTGTGGCAAATGCAAATGGTTAAAACCCCTGCAAAAAGAAAAAAAAAGAAAAGAAAAGAAAAAAGAAAAGGAAAGGAAAAGAGAGGTTATTAAAGCTACTGGTAACATCAGCTGAAAAGTCCTGGAATTTCAAATTTGTCTTAGCCGATTTGCACAACCACCGCAGCCAGGTTTATATAGAAAACGTATGGCCCAGGCTTTGATTGTAATAAATCCACAGAGCCCGCCCTCTTCCCTGCAACAAAAATCCTTTTCTTCCCTGGCTATTTAATATGCAAGGCAGATTGGAACATTAGCAGTGCAAAAGGGTAAATAATCTGGTAATTGATCTGGGATTTGTGGATTTTTACCTCAAATTTCTGTTTATGGTTGAAGGTCGTAAGCTATACAAACCTCTATTGATCAGAGTCCTTTGTTTAAACAGAACCTACTGTATTTATTTGTGCTGCTCTCCCAAAGTCAAACAAAAGGGCAGCGATCTAGCTAAACCTCGGCATGGCACTGAGGACATGTGGCCTGTTCACTCAGCATACAGCTGTTTTCAATCTGCACAGTTTGTCTTTCATACCCATATGAGATGAAGCAGCCTTCACTTAGCCTGGGAGACAGGCCAGCAGGAGAAGATCCGCACTTAACCCTTCCCAGACAATTTTCCTGCTCCCTTTTGACACTGAGAAGTCACTCTTGGGACACAGGATCTTTCCTGAGAGTTGCGACCTGGGCACTCAGGGTCGCCTGTGTGTCATCACGATGCCCCTAGGCAATAAGAACCCCTTTCCCCTCGGCTTCCATCTTCACTCCCTAGCCTTGCAGCCCCACCCTTGACGGTTCCTCAAAGCTCTGTATCCCTTGAGGGAGATTTGGGAAGGAGAATGGTTTTCTTTGCCGTCACTGGGTGGTTTGGACTATCGTGTTTAAAGGATACCCTGAGTAGGGCTGTCCAGAGCCTGGGCCCATAGAAAGCAGGCAGGTTGCTGCTGCTAATGGTGGACTTGACTGTCTCCCATTTCTGTTTCCCTAACACCGGACTTAGCTCCAGTTTCTCCACCGGGGCACCGTTGACATTTGGGGCTGAAAAATCCTTCCTGGTGGGAGGGGTCTGTCCTATGCATTGTGGGACGATTAGCAACACCCATAGCCTCTACCAGCCAAATGCCAGCGGCGGCCTCCACCCTCAGGTGTGACAACCCAAAATGTCTCCAGGCATTCCTTAATGTCCCTGAGGGTGGGGCACAGTCTCCCCCAGCTGAGAAACCCTACCTTCGAGAGATGGTGTGCTAGGTTGTCAATGGCGGGGGCTTTAACTCCTCTGGCCTCCCGAGGGCTGCCTGACCTTTTCTTCCCCTCCCTTGTCCCAGTTTCCTCATTAGCCAGGTGCCCGTGAAAGGTCCTAATGTTCAGAGCTGCGCTGTGGACCCAGCGCAATGCGGGGCGGTCGGCGCCTCCCCCTGGGCCTGGTGAGGGGTCTTTCTCACTGTCACCCCCGGGCAGCTCAGAGAACTTGAGAGCAAAGGCAGCCCATGCGAGAGCTACTCCAATGAAGCACCACGGTCGGGTTTTGAACGCCCTTTGCCAATAGTAACAACTCTTGATTTTTGGAGGGAGCTCTGTGGCTTGGCAAGCAGCATCAGAATGGATTTGCTTTCTTCTTCCATCCCTGGCTTCGTGGAAATACAAACATTTGCAGAGCTGGGGCTGAAGGCAGGTGGCTCACAAATGCTTAGTAATTAATTGCTCTGAGTAGGGGAATGTATTAAATAAACCGAGGCCCTGTGTAAAAGAGGGTTATTCTCAGCTTACACATTACATTCTCCTGGCTGTTGAGTCTTTAAAAAAATAATATATCAGGACCTGAATATAATATGCATGTCTTCATCGCCAGCCTGATCAGGGTTCAAATCCCAGCACAGCTACTTCCTAATTATCGAGTGTTCTTGGGCAAGTTGCTTTTCCTTGCAGTGCTGCCACCCCAGCCGCCACTGGCAAGTGGATAAGGGTACTGACCTCAAACTAGTGCTCTGAAAATAACTAGGGTGCCATACTTGAGTCCATCAGTGTGTATGACACGTTCTTGACATTAGCAAACGATAGCTGCCATCATCATTGTCATCGTTCAAGTGTCCTTTACTGAGTATCTAATTCATATTCAAAATAACATTAAACCCAGAATCCAAACATAAGTGTTTTAAGATATTCAATAACAGATCCTTGTGATATTCGGATAATTTTCTTTTCATTTTTTTACTAGGATATTTGTGTTACAGGTTCAGTCATAATGTTTGGGGTGAGAGGGAACTACTTCTATCTTTTTCAAACTTCCCAAACTGAGAAGGTATTTTTAAATATGGCGAAGTGCAACGTGGATGAAACAGACAGGAGGGTGAACAAGCTGAGGCAAGGTCTGTACAGGCAGAGCAAGCCAGCTGATCCTGGGTCTCCAAGACCTTTATATGGACACAGCCTCTTGCAGCTTATGATGAGATCTCATATATATTGTATTCACATGCCTCCCATTATTGAGAAGCATAAAGACCTCTACCCGGTCACACTTTTAGAGTAGAAAAAGGGACCCTGGGGTTTTGGCTTTGGGTTCAGTTCCCTGGCCAGCCTGTGTATTCTCCAGCATGAAAGTGATTCAGCCTCCCATCCTGGGGAGGGTGGGTTCCTGTTTTCTTCCTTGTCCAGGGGTCCTTAAAAATATTATAGAAGGTGTAAGAAGAGGAGATAGCCAGCAACTGAGAGTGTCTCATGAACAGAGAGAGAAAATCAACAACCACAGACATTTATTCTAACAGCTTTCTGCTTCCAGTCTTTTTCGTGGCCACGTTCCTTGTCTTCCCAAATTCCCACTAGATCCCCTACCCTCCCTACAAACACCACATTCCTGTGTTTTTCTTGAAGTTCAAGTTTATCTACTTTCACTGAATGAAACAGTTTGCCTTCAGGCCATTTGTGCTAGGAAGGTTCTCTTTTGAAATATGCATTTTTGAGTCATACAAAATTATATATGCAATCTATATGTAAGTCATGAAACTGAATATAAAATGCCTGTAAAACAATGTCTTCAGAACTACAAACCAATATTAGTGAATTTTCTTTCCCAAGGCCCTTCTTTTTTCCTTATCAAGTAACTGCTATCCTGAATTTTATGATTATCATTAAAAACATTTATGATATTTTTCTTTAAAGCTCTTCTCCTTTGGTAGGTATGCCTCAGCTGTATATAGTGTGTGTGCAGTTTGTTTTCCAGCTTTGTAAAAATGTCACTATAGTCCATATTATCTTTACATGTTTATTATTTTCTTCATTATGTTTCTAAGATTCCTCCATGTTGGTGTCTGTACCTATAAGTAGTTCATTTATTTTCCCTACTATATAGTGTTCAATTCCATTTATGTATTCATCTGTTGATGGATAATAGGGTCATTTTCAGTTATCTGATTTTTTGTGGCGCTGTTTTGCTTTTGGAAATATGACTATACGGACTATATGACATTCTTATACATGGTTTTTCGATGAATGTGAAAATGAGTTCTTCCAGAGTACACACCTAGTTGGATTGAGGAGGGATTAGGGGTCTGTAGATTTACTCCCTCAGTGAAATTTCTGATTAGTCAAGGGTTCTCGTTTATCTGCTCCAAAGAAGCCACCTTGTTTCTTTCTGCAGAATTTACTTTCCAAAAGTTAATTTCCACTTCATGACTTCCTGAAAAATGGCTGCTCAGCTAAGGTCCCTCTCTCTCACTCTTACACAGGGGGATAGTTTTAGAAAACAAAAGCCCTCAGCTTGACTCCTGGTTCTTCCATTGACGAATAATGGGAAACCCTAAGCATTTGCCCTGCTCCCATCTTCTGCCTCCTGAACATACTGATGTCTGTGCCATGTGGGCCGTGTGATGTGCCTCCTGTCCCTAGGACCTGTGAGTATAACACACTTTCTTTTCCTGAGCCTGTGCCCTCTTGTAGCTGACCTGACTGACCATCACATAAAAAGATACAAAGCTGCTGTGATTTAAGATTTCTTATACTCCTGCCCTTGTGTTGCCAAATTGTGGTTGGTGCGTGATGCCATAGCATCTTGAATCTTGAACCCCCTTTGCCTATATAATGGAATGGACTGTTCACGCCTAAATTTTTTTT